ATAGAAAATTTAAAGATTTTTTACTTTTTTTCAAAAAATAAAGCAAGCAAACACTAAAACCTTGATGTTTCATTTCTGTAAACTTGGGTTGTATCTCTTGTGATTCACGACAATTATAAAGCACAATAATCTATAAAACAATGTCTTGGATCACTACAAGCTTTGAAAAGACTCTCGTCTATAAGGATTTTCTTCTTGGATATTAAGAGTTATTTTTATAATATTTATTAATTTTTATATTTTAATAGCTTTTTTATTTCTAATAAAAAGTTATTGCAAGCATGTCAAGGAATAAAATTATTATGGTTATTTTTTAAATAATTTTTTATATCAAAATATATATCAATGATATTTTTTTATTTTTTTAAAATTATTTTTAACACCTGTACATAAAAATAATTTAAAAACACTAAAAATATATTAATTTAAAGTAAATAAAAAAATAATTTATTTTTATTTTTTTCAAAAACATTTTTAAAAAACATAAACAAACAGGAATGATTTCATTAGATTTTTATTTAATCACAAGTAAGATCTTGTGTAAACATTTCATCAACTCTCTTCACTTTTTCATGGATGTATTTTACAACTAGCTTCCTAGGTTTCGTTTTGGATAGCATTTTCTATCTTACATTAAAAAAAATTGTGCTTTATATTGTCATTTTTTTATAATTATTTTAATGTACTAATATCTAAAACAAATTCATTTAATATATTTTAAAAAACATTCATTACTCCAATCTCATCCATTTAATTATAACAACATTAATTTTCCTCTCTCGCCCACCAAAATAATCTGCCCCCCTCCATCTTGAGCACAGCCACCTATTCACCCACCGCTACTTTTCTCCGTTCCAGGCGTAGTTGCCATTGCCGCCATCATCACTGACCAGAAAATAAAAATAAAAATGTTTTTTTTTATTTTTTATATATAGATGTTCTTTAAACCACCATTCACTCAGGCCACTTGTGCATGATTTTTCAGTTGTTTTCATTTTATGTTGTGCCGGAGATCTGAGACTGGCTGATGGATTGCCATGTCAGGGAGACCTCTGTCTTTTACCCTGTGACGTACTATGATTTGTTTTCAAGTAGTAGGCAAAAACATAAAGCTATGAACCAAAATCACTCCCTTCAACGAGAAAAAAACACATTACGTAATTATAAGTGTCCAAGAAGCATGAAATAAATACTCTTTTGGTCCTTTATCTTTTCATGGTTTTAACTTTTTATATTTTAACTTTTAAGACTTCATTTTCTTGTTTACACCCTTCATATTGAGATTAAAAAAATTTAAAAAAAGTGTTTAAAAAGGCGGTGCAAATTATGTTTTTTAAATTTTTAAATTATATTTGTTAAAATTACATATTGAGATTAAAAAAATTTAAAAAAAGTGTTTAAAAAGGCGGTGCATGTATTGAAATTAAAAAAAGTGTTTAAAAAGGCGGTGCAAATTATATTTTTAAAATTTTTAAATTATATTTGTTAAAATTAATATTTTTTGTTGTTTTTATTTTGTTTTGATGGGTTAATATAAAAAATAATTTTAAAAAATAAAAAATATATTATTTTAATATTTTTCTAAGTAAAAAGTATTTTGAAAAACAACTGCAATTATATTTTTAAACAAGTAAAAAGTATTTTAAAAAACAACTGCAATTATATTTTTAAACACTCTCAAAGTCATTAAAGAAGAGAGAGGAGGAAAAAAAGCTTGACAGGTGATATCTTTACCATAAAATGTTGATTTTTCTGTAAATATATTTATTTTAAATAGGAGAATTGGGTGAGGTGGTTTTAGTTTTTAATTATGTTGAAAAATAGTAGATTGAAATCTTCAAAATTTATTTTTATTTAGTTTTATTTTGAGTTTTTAGTTTTGTTATGGAGTGCTTGAGGGTTGGAAATTGAATTATTAAGATTTGTATGATATTTTTAAATGAAAAAACATTAAATTTTAAATTTTAAAATTCAAAATACCATCTCTCAACCATCTTTATTTTAGTAAGTGGTTCGCTATTTGTGTTCATATAAAACCAAAAAAAATAATTATAAACAAGGTATATAGGCCAAATTTTATAAACTCAAGAGTACAACCTTGCAAGCTTATTTATCCTAATTAATATAAAAACCTCTCTCCATTATTGTTTTTTTTTTAACATTGCATATAACAAAAAAATCTAGTGTTTTGTGCAAATCAATTTCATTTTTTTTTCATGGAGTGATTTTATTAAATTAATATATCTATATATCATTATATTTAACCCTTTTTTTTCCTTCTTAAATTGACAATCACTCCCCTAAAAAAGCATAAAAATAAGTGATGTAAGTTTGAAAAGTTATAGATTATTTAATATAAATGAATACATTTATTAAAATTAATTACTCTAACATTCAAACATCTTGTATTCTTAAATATAATTAAAATTAATTATCTAAAAACTAGGATAAAATAAATTAGAAAAAATAGATAAGGAGTTGATTTGAATTCCAAAAAAACAAATATTTGGAGAATGATTTGAAAAAAAAATGACAAAGTAGTAAAATAAATTACTTCCTTTTAAGTTTACAAAATGAATTAAATATTTTTTTATTTAAAAAAATAATTAACTAGTCCCTTAAAAAATATATACTTATTTTAAGATTGAATTATTTTAAAAATATCTTCTTTCTCATTAATATTTTTATATTATTTGCTTATTTTCCCCTTCTTTTATTTCTTAAAAAAGGATAAAAGGACTAACCAAAGACTAAGAAGACTATTTAATTCTTCTTGTAAGACAATAAGGACTAACTTATAATTTACTCCAATTTCCGTAATCATATATACACACGATTACGAGGACCCACCTTTTCTCCCTCTCAATCCCTTTACGCAACACATACCCACGACACTCCTCTCTCTCCCTCTCCCTCCCCCCCTGACTTTCCTACTGCATGGCGATCAGGGCTCGATTTCAAAATTAGGGCACGCAATCTCTCTCGATCGATGCGATTTCCACGCGATTAAGATGTAATCTTACACTGATTTTGGATCTTCTTAAACCAACTTGCAAACCAACTGAGTTTTTACACTTTCGATTTGGGGATTTTAGATTTCTAGGGTTTCTTGTTGTTCCTTTTGTTTTCTTTTAGTCATGAAGGGTGGTGGTCAGTCTGACAAGACCAAAGTGGTGGTCCGCCACTTGCCGCCGGGGATTTCTAAGCCGATGTTTGTCGAGCAAATCGATGTTGCTTTCTCTGGCCGCTACAATTGGCTCTCCTATCGTCCTGGCAACAACAGGTTAGGGTTTACATTTTTTTACCCGATTGAGGGTTTTATCTAGCATTCTAGTTTCGTACAGGGTCGTCTAGGGCTTTCTATGTGTTTTGAGGTAGTCTTGCCTCTATTCTTTTATGTTATCCTTGCTCCATGTATGGCAGGGTTTGATTATTACCTCGAATGAAGTTGGATAGGCTTGGTAATTTTTTTAACAAGGGGATCGGTTGGGTGCTTAATGGGCAATCAACTGAAATTAGCTAGCTGAATTTTGTAGAACACGAGATTTCTGACTATTTGGCACATGCCTTTTTTTATCTGGGTGTTTTTATGTTTAAGAATTTGAGAGCTTATGTGCTTGGATTTACCTTGTTTAATTAAATCAGGGAAAACAGGAGAATGCTAAGTTACCTATCTGCTAATCCTTCAACTTCTGTCATGACGATTTGTGTTTCTTTCTCCCTGCTCATATTCTGAACTATAAGTAGCTATCAAGTTATAGGCTTCCTTTGTTCGACCGTGAAGGAGTTTCTTTTTTCCCCTAATAGTGGAATGTGGTACAGGCATCTTGTTTTTCTTATTCTTTTGAAAAGAATTAGGTAGTCTGCAATTGAATATAGGCTGTTACTGTTTTTCATATCCCCTCTTTATATGTCTTGGAGAATCAATGAAATATTTGGATTCTTGGAGGGAATTTCAGTTTGCAAATTGTCATGGCATTTCTCTTTTTGACTGTTCTATAGCTTCCTTTCCAAAATTTTATTAGACTTTAGACAGGGTTGTATTATTGCTTTTCTAAAGAGTTGATTCTCGTGGAAAGTTCAACCCTTTCTTCAAGTCACTGATTTCTATAATCAAATTATGACACGCAAAGATAGTATTTCCTTCTGATTGTTTCTTAAAATTGTTTCCCAGCCAGAAGCATCAATCCTATTCTAGAGCCTATATTGATTTCAAAAGGCCTGAGGATGTTATTGACTTTGCTGAGTTCTTTAACGGCCACTTATTTGTTAATGAGAAAGGTAAATCCTTAATACACTAATCATGCGGCCACATATAAATATTTTTGTATCTAAACAACAGTGTTTCATTGCAGGATCTGATGTAAGATAATCTTTTTAACTTATTATTCCTTGTATTTTTAGGCACTCAGTTTAAAGCTATTGTTGAGTATTCTCCTTCACAGCGTGTCCCAAAACAGTGGTCTAAGAAGGATGGTCGTGAAGGCACCATATTGAAAGGTATTTGATTTCTTTTTTTGTGGAATCAAATTGATGAATTTTTGTTGATATGAACTTAGCGTTTCAACATTTTGATATTTGTAATGCAATTATTTCCTTGTTGACATCTAGATCCTGAGTATTTGGAGTTTCATGAATTAATTGAAAAGCCTGTTGAGAATCTTCCGAGTGCTGAAATACAACTCGAAAGAAGAGAAGCAGAAAGAGCTGGTTAGTCACAAAGATCTTGAAAGGCAGCATTTTGAAATAATCATACTAGAAATAGGGAGAATGCATGATTGGATTGTCTGGATTGGAGTTCATTTTTCGTTTAGTCTTGCTTGATGTTTTCCCATGATGTATATACAGGTGCTGCAAAAGATGCTCCCATTGTCACACCTTTAATGGACTTTGTTCGACAGAAAAGAGTTGCTAAGAATGGACCTCGGGTATTGTTTGAAATTGAATATTTGTGACTGAGAGATGCAAATATTTTCAATTATCACAAGCAGCTTTATATTTTTCCATTTTATATGCTATTGTGAATAGCTTTAGTGTCGGTGAATTCAGGACAGTCTTTTGTTAATTACTGTATGTTAATTTGTAATGAATCCATTTAGCATGTACAATCATATCAATTGGGCAGTTATTCTTTTTCTTGGATGTTATGTAGCAACACCTTCTTTTCATAAAAAAAGCTTAACAAAACTGAAGCACAAGCTCAAAAAATGGCCTGCAGCAACACCTTTTCATAAAAAAAGCTTAACATAACTGAAGCACAAGCTCAAAAAATGGCCTTCCATGAACTTTGGGTTTTCTAGTTTTCTTTCACAATTATTTGCACTGGGAAATAAGACTGTCAGCTACAATTTTAGTTCTTGCATTAGTTCAGATGCTAATAATAAAAATATGTACCTTTTAAACTCTTCTCTGTAGTTACTGATAAAGGGCATGGTGAGAATAACTTAAATCTGGAATTTACTTGCAGTAAGAATATCTTTCTTTTGTAGCTGCACACGTCTTTGCTCATTTCATGGTTTAAGATGTATTTAAAGTCTTGACACTGATATTTGGTTTTGATGTCTTTTCCTTGATTGTGTGGCTGTTTTCCTTGCATGATTTTTTTTTTGTTTTACTGGTTATCTTAAATGTAACCATAACAATTTCATAAAGTAATTCTGATTTTGGTGACAGAGGATATTGTCCAATGGGAAACTGAGCAGAAGGGCTGGTGGCAGTGGAAGTCCTAGTTCATCCTCATTGAAACGAGGTTCTGAGAAGAAGAGAATTTCAACAACAATGGTATATGTTTATATTAATTCCTGAAGTCACATAGGGGAATGTGTTTGTGAAGTTATTTTACTAGCTTGCATGTTTTCTGTGATTTACTAGATTTTGTTTCAACAGAACTTTGAGCCTGGTATAATCTGCATCCCTGGCAGTGCTTGATAAATTATTAAACGGGGCCTGATGATTTAAACAAGCGTTGCAAGTGGTTGAAGCTTAAATTATTCAGTGTAGTGGTGTTCTGAAGATGGAAAACATTTAATGTATTGTTTCTTTAGTATTTGTTGAGGTGTTGTTCTAAATTACCCTGCAAGTTGTAGATAGTGCCTTAAATCTATCTTGAGGTTATTCTGCATGTTGGGACCATGTGTTTGCCGGAAATGGTAAAATGCGAGGAATAGAAAAATATTGTACATTAACATTGTACATCAGACAGGGTGAAAACATTGTCCTATGTGCTTGTTTTCTAGATCCTAACCATGGATTGTATTTGAAGATTTATGTCTTCTGTTAGAAAACATCTTGGTGTTTAATTACCTGTCAATAGGAAATACAAGCCTGTCAGAATTTTTTAGGTTGGTGCTTGCTTCGATCTTGTTACTTTATTCATTGAAGGATTCCATTTCCATATTGATGCATAGCCCTTCCTTTGAACCTCACCTGCATATTTAAGTTTGTTTAACCATTTAGAAACCACAATTAGTGAATATTGAGATGCAATATTTTTGGAAATTATTAATTCTTTTCCCTGCCCAATGGGCAGTACGTTTTAAGGGACACTGCAAAAAGTACAAGTGGAAAAGACAAATCAACTTATGTGCAGGTTCCCAAGCGAGATGGTCAGCAACTTTCTAATGCTGTAACTTTGGGTTCTGGGTCTGGGACTGCAGTATTAGAAGATGAAAGCGGTATGATGAGAACTTAATTCTTAGCTTTTCAAGGATGCTTAAGCTGAATACTAAGCTCTTGCCTGTTTTACGGTCTTAATACTGTATGCTATTACAAATTGCACTCAGCTTCTTCACTATTTGAGGAAATGCATTAGCACTTGTTTCATTTTTTTGGTGAAAAGCACCCTTCATTCTCCTTTTTATAAAGTTGTAAATTCGTGTTCTTAATATTTCTGAATAAATCTTTTTCTTATAATAAGAAAAAGCTGCAGGCTATCTTGCATCTATTCCCAGAAGAGAGATGCATTTACATGTTCCCTATACTTGTCTGAGATTGTTGACTCGCAGTTTGCTCCGATATTAATATTTTAAGTACCTTCATCTCATAATTAATAGGAAGGAAGTGAAGAATGCAGGGTTCTAGAGATATTTAAATGAGCCTTTTTTTCTTAGAATCGACGCGTATTTTATGTTATCCTTTTGTTTCAATATACTTTTACTCCCAGCACTGTCATCAAGCATGGCCTGTTACTAATGATTTTATTTCAGGGGTTTCTGGAATTACTGATTCTGGGAAGAAGAAAATCCTGCTTCTGAAAGGGAAAGAGAAGGAAATCTCACTGGTGAGCCTTCCATTTCTCTTGTCCTCCCTCATTATTGATTCAATTGGCAGAGTTACCTTAGCACACTGTGAATGGAGAAAGCTTGTTTAATGTTCTCAATGCCCCTCGGAAATGCATCACAAGAGGGAAAGTTGCAGGATAAGGGAGATGTATTTGAGGAATTGTAATATGCAACTGGATAGTACCTTTTCTCACTCCTTCACCCCCTCTTTAATGTCTTGTAACCTGGAAAAATGATGCAAGAAAGAGGAAGGAAATTTTGCTTAAATAGAAGGGTGCAAAAGGTAAGCTAATGCAAAAATTCTGGTGAAGATACTAAATACATAGACAGACAGTAGGGCATAATTTTTCTGTACAATCTCGTGTTAGTGGGGACCCTTCTTGGATGGATGTTCTGCATCTAATTTGTCTGCTGTTGGCTTGTGCCAAATGAAGTGGCACAGAATAATATCTGGGTTGCTCTTGATTGAAATAATTATGCTTAACCAGTGCTGATTGGAATGTCGTCAACTAATATTTTTATCCCATATCCTGACTGAGAGATTAGCCTTGAAATGTGTTTATTATCTGTGATTAACCATAATTCATGCTTAGTTATGTTTGATTGTTTAATGACTCTTTGCCTGCTTTTGTCATTTGTTTTATCGCGATTACCATGAGATGCTTTAGTTATTTTTTAAACCATGTTTCTAATGGTTATTGATTCTGCAGGTTACTGGCACCATGGCTCAGCAACAGAGCATATCATCTTCAGATAGAAATATAATTAGTTCGACTGTTCTAAAGAGCCAGCGGCGTGAAACCAGTGGAAGGATGATCAGAAGCATACTCTTAAACAAGGATTCACGTCATATTCGATCCTCTGGAGTCCATTCTGAGCCACAGATGCAAACCTCAAATCTAGAGAAGGACAGACGTCCTCCTCGGCCTCCACATGCACAGTCGAATCTAGAGAAGGACAAACGTCCTCCTCGGCCTCCACATGCACAGTTGGGTTTGAAGGATGCAAATGGAACACCAGATGACAAGGTTGTTGGGAATGATCTGCATGGTTTTCCAAATGAGAAGCAGGAAAAGCGCACCAGAAATAAGGATAGGCCTGATCGTGGAGTGTGGACTCCTCTCCGCAGATCAGATGGATCCTATGCAAGTGATGAATCCTTGTCATCATCTGCAAGTCAATCCACACAGTCAGTGTTTGATTCTTCACAAGGTAGGCCACTATTCATCTTCAGCCTAAATATGTTCATAGCTGTGATATTGGAGACATTTGAGTTCCTTGCAATTGCGTTTTAAATTCAATTGATAGCTTATTCCACTTGCAGAATACAAGCATATGACAACACATGAAATAATAATAATAAAAGAAACCTAAACCAGTTTGAAGAAGAAACAACTCTTGGCTGCAGGATGTTTTACCCTCAAGTGACTTGTTTTAATAACTTTTGTCTTTAATCTCCTAGGAAACCATGGTGATGTAAAAGTTGACAACTTGAATTTAAGGAGTGGAGAAGTAAAAGTTCTTGGAAGTGGGCGTAGTAATCATTCTTCTTTAGATAATGGTTAGTTTTTCATTTTTGTTTGTCATTTAACTTACATGTTGCTTCAGCATTTATAATGGCAATTCATGTGCGTTAATGATGAATATGAGTTACATGTTTCAACTTGGATGCTTGATTTTATGTAGGATCACATAAACATTTTGGTCGTCGGGGACCATCACATATTGTGAGGGATGCTGAAGGCTCTGCTGTTGAGGCAAAAACTCCTAAAAGAGGTGGTGCTTCTGGTTATGGGTCCCATGAGGTGCTTACACTTAATTTTTGGATGTTAAACTTTACCTCCTGTTTTTTTGCTTTTCTTTCTTTTTAACTGATTTCTTGAAGGTTTGCTCCCTCGATTCACAGAAGCAAGTCTGGGTTCAAAAGTCTACTTCTGGTTCTTAGTGTTCTGATATGGTAAGTCTATTGTTTTTCCCTGTAAATATTTGCTGCTTTTTTTTTTTTTTTAACTAAAGAACATTTACGATAAGTCTTGTGCCCTTTTCTTTTTTACCCTAAATCTTGTGCGCTTACTGTTGCTTTTTTATATGCTTAGAATGAAACTGATTAGAGGAAAGTTGAAGGAGTGGGGTCGTGGAGGTAGGCCACAATATTAACGCTTCCTACATCACTTCGTCTTTCTTGTTATCTCTTCTTTTTTCCTTCCCTCTTTTGAGCCAGCATCCTCCTAGTCCCTAATGATGAGCTTGACCATTCAGACCAGTGATTACCAACATTTGGATGGTTTGATAACCGGTATTCTGACACATGAAGGGATGGGCTTTGGGCTTCTAAAATTATATTGTTACATGCATTAGGGTTGTCAATGACAACTAAGCTTGTTGAACGTGACTATAAACAAATCTGCATGCATCTTGATTGTAATAATTGTGTATTACCATTCTAAATTTAAATTCAGTGGCCAACTACATCTGTTTCATTCATTAAATAGCAGCCTTTTGCTTGAGTTGATGGATATCATGTCGATTTCTGGTTAAGGCTTTTTGGCGAGTTGATGATGTTTTACTGTCTTGCATTACTTCTGCAGTGGAATGTGCAGTCTCTGTGAAATTTTGGAGCATGCAGTTGCTGTATGCTGGCGGCTGTCCCTTTTTGTTATACAGATGATCAGGCTTGAAGTATCGGCAGTGGAGAAGGTTTTTCTTTGGGAAACCTAGAAGAAAATTCAAAGTTGACATCAATGATGCAGGTATTGATGTAATTAATACTTGGGTTTGGTGAAATCCCGATCTTAGTCAAAGACGGCTCGGAATAGGAGAAAAGGAAGGAGAAAAAGATATCATTGTTATAATCGTACATAAGACCACAGTTTTTGCCAGGGCATCTATCCCTTTTCTGGGTTCTACTCAACGGAGCAGCCATTTGTGTCCTCATTCTTGCGATTGACTGACTGGATATTGGGATATTCTCTTCTTCTACAGGTGGATTCCCTTGGCTAAACTGTGTATATATCACAGCAAAGTGCTGCTACCTTGATTCCTTTAGTTGTTTTATGCATGTCTCGTTAGGCAGTCTGCAACTCGCGGTTTTGTGAGTGAGGGCTGCCTGTGCTGGGTCCTCGTCGACGTGAAGAGAGTGTGGGTCTTTTGCAAAGCTTGGTATTGTTGTGAATGGCTTTGACTGATGATAGGATTTTAAAAGCGTGGATGAATATTGTAATCGGTAGGAACTAATTGGCCTCTGTTGTATGGCTGAAATGGGAAATTGCCTTGTTACAACACTCGGTGATGGATTGTGATGGTTTGGTTTAGAATCTCATAATTCTCTGCCAGTAAAATTATTTGTGCAATTAAGCAGTTCTTAACTCGTGAGAGAATGAAACTTG